AAGATGTCTTCGGCACAAGTGACACAAGTCGGTCGCTTCAGGGTTTTAAAAACTTTGCCTTTGCCGCTTCAGTGAGGGAGTAAAACTTTCTTACCGACTTCGCAGGTAATGTTTATGACCCTGAAACGGCACAGTTAACACCGAAAACTATTTTACATTTATTAGTCTAAGAATTAAAAATTTAATCCCTGACATTCTACAACTTTTGTTTTACCCCTTATCTTGCCGAGTTGTTAACGATACAACCAAACAACTTAACTATTAATTACCATGAAAAATACATCCAGTGGAGGCTCTAATGTACTTTATGTGACTTCTACATTTTTTCTCCGAGCAGCACAAAACCGCTGGTGAAAGCAAGCTAAAGCAGGCACCTTCTTGTAATCTGACCGCATTCAAAAGGAGAATTCAAAGGTACCAATCCTGGAAATCATTAATTTAAAAACCCTGGAATCATTGGTTGATCATGAAAAAATGGTCTTGGACGTAAACGCTGGGTTCTACTTTGAACTGAGTTGATATTGTTGCTTTCCGCTTTGCTGGAACAGTAAAACTTCCCTAGTGACTCGACAGAAAAAGATAAACAAACATTTTAGTTTAAACCTCAATATTTTTGAAGACCAAATGGAAACTTAATAATAATAATAATAATAATAATAACAATAATAATAATAGTCTTTATTTCCTCACAAGATAAAAAATACATATCTTATGTTACAATATTTGAGTAGAAAGCATATATATCTAAGTTATTAAAAAAAAAAAACGCTCACATAGCTAAATTGTATTTAAAAATTAAGCGATTAATGTAAGAGTTCTTGAAGCTATCTGTATTAACTTTCGGATACTGACTTGTTCGATTTCTTAAATTGTAAGTCGATACTTTCTTCTTGGGTAATAGTCCCCTTAGAGGGTGTCGGTCTATGCCAGATATCAGGCCCAAGTTTAGCAGTTCCCATATATTATCTCATAGGTAGTCCCGCTATTACAAAGCAACATGAAAATAGAGGCTGACCACAGGTTATCTCTAATAATACAAAGCCCAGACACCCTCCTTTGCATCCTCCTCCTTAACAGAAAGCTCTGTTTTGTTTTCCCGTATGTTTCAATTATCCCTCTCTAGCCACAAGTCATTTTTTTATCAACTGGCATATAGCTTGTTTTTGCAATATTGGTAATAACTGAGGGCCTTGCACAAGCTATAATAGCCGAGCTCCCCCAGTGCGCGATCAGAGCCCAATTAAGCTAAGAAAACTTGGTTATCTATCCATCCAAGAAATTTTGGTATGTCTGTGCATCCACCTGTCCATCTGCAGTCTGCACCACAGGGCAAGCAATGTGAAATATCACACTTTTTCGCTACAGTGTGGGACCTATAATTGCACATCCATGTTGTGGTCAATTGACAGCTGTCAAAACAGGGTATGTGCTGACCAGTATCACATGACCGTATTTCTGGGGCTCACGTGTCTCAGGTGCCATTGAGGATACATACTTTTTTGAAGTTATTTGCTGACAAGTTTCTAGTTTTCAACTGATTGCAGGCTCAACTCCAAGTAGATTTCTTTGTGAAATAAACTTGTGACTATCACAAAGAAATCTACTTGGAGTTGAGTCTGCAGTCAGTTGAAAACTAGAAACTTGTCAGCAAATAACTTCAAAAAAAATATGTATCTTCAATGGCACCTGAGACACAGCCCAAGAAATACAGTCATGTGATACTGATCGGCAGATACCCGGTTTTGACTGCTGTCAATTGACCACAACATTTGTTTGAAGTAAATATAAGCCAGGAGCTTTGCTCTTAGCTTTGGCCAAATCTATAGTATGTTAGATAAGAGCAAGTTTTTGACTTCATAGCATCCTTCATGTTGAACAGAACATTATGTAGAGTTACAGTGGCATCTAAAAGATGGTATAACCAAGAAGGAAAAGAAATGGTTTATTGTTAAAATTAATACAGAAGAAAAGGAAAGATAATCTATCTTACAGTGTACAGTCTCGAGGAGTCTCTTCCAAGTCATCTCCACCATTAATCAACAAAGGAAGCATTATCACCAATGGAGTAAGCCTTTGTGAAGTATAAAAAAATGCTGAAGTCAGTGATTAAGTTTTTTCTTGTTTATTGTAATAATATTGTTTTTTGTTTTGTACATTACATTTTAAATTTTCAGGGAACAGCATACCATGTACATGACTGTATAATCATCACAGAATAATAGATTAATCTTTATTATGCTTTTGTTGATGTACATGGTTGATGTCACAATCTCGTAAATTTACTTACAATAGAAGATAAATTAAACGTAGTGAGAATGTGCAAGCTAGGAAGCTAAATGAACCATTTGGATTTCTTGTTAGCTCCCTGAACAATTTAGGTTCTAGGTAGCAAGTGAAATCAATCAATCAATCATCTAGGACAATAAAAATTAATAACAAAGAATTCTTTTATTATATGTCACGTAAAAAATGTTTTAGGGCCTGTGGCAACCTATAGTCATTGTGGGTATTATTTTTTTTATCTTTATGTACAAACAGAATAATCATAATAATAATGATAATAATAATAATAATAATAAAACTAGCACCAATACCAATAATTTTATTGCTATCAATGTTGCATGTACTACTCATACATTGACCAAGAACTCCATGCCTAACAAGCTGTTTTTTTATGTTTCACCTGCCAGCAAGATTTAGCAAATGTATATTTTTCAAAAAAGTGTTTACTCAATATTGGGCAAACCCCTCTGAACTCCTGAAATATACACGGAGCTGATGTCACACACTTAAAATAATTTGATGCAGTGTTTCAACATACATATGAATTATAATTGCTTTTAACTCAGGCAAGATTTCGCCAGATTTGGTGATTAAATGTCATAAAATTGTAGTACAGTGACGAGTTACATATTGTTTTGAAGCAACAGGTGACTCAGTTGTACATGAAATCAGTCTCTCCTTTTTTACAAGAAAACACAGTCACATACATCTTACCAGCATAGAACATAAAAAATCCTAGAAAACCAGATGGAACATTTCTCCCGATAAGCTACCTGAAAGAATCATTATAAATGTCACGACAGACTGTGAAGTTAGGTAGTGGCCTGTACTTTCAAGGCCAATATCATCAATTTGCACAGGAATATTATAGGTTCAGTTGTTACAAGTTTCCCCCAGCTATCTACAGTGCTGTCAACTCCCCAGGATAATCCGAGAGAGACTGTACCTGCCGGTCTCCAGGTTACAGTATAAAATATCCTGGATAAACATCAAAGTTTGCTTTTTCTTCAGTAGACCCGACTTTCTGACAATAAAATTTCAATTATTTTGTATTGTTTGAGCTATTTTAATGTTAACATCAAACGTTTCCTCATAAACTCTGGTATGCCATTGTAATATAATAATGTGATTGTGGGGAAGTAAACCAATTGATCAGGTCAAATGTTATAATGCAAACAACACATTTTTGCGTGTTTTGTGTCATGGCAAATTTGTGATGATTGCAGTCAACAGTTATATTTTTTTGTACAAATGACTTCATGCGCCGTGTGTTACGACATCATCTGTCATCTCTTCCATATCAATTCTAAATATTTAAAAACATGGGGGGTTCACAGCCCTGTATCTGCATAGAAATGGTTTCAACATAAGTCAAGTCAAGATTACCAAGTGAACGATAGAGAAAGCCACAAAAACTATTCTAGACTCCAACATATCCCACTTGTCTGACTCTCTCTATCTAGGCAACCCCTATTGACAGCAAACTACCAAGTCCAGCAGAGATGCTTTAGGCTTGGCCATTATTAATAATTTATCTTCTAAGGAAGGTGTTATAGGTCAAAAGCGCTTTCTAGGTTGACTCTCAAAATTTTCTTTGTCTACTAGCCCTAGGAGGCAACAAAGAAAATTGACAATCAAACTAGGTTACAAAATTTGCACCAAAAATCAAATTTGATCAGCAACAAAAGTCCCAGGTGAGGGTAGGTGCTAAAGATGACAACAATCATTAGTACTAGGCAGCAAGTGAAACAAAAGCCCAACATAAGCACTTATATCACAAATGGCACACCTAGGCATTTCCCAAGCCTAGTCCTAGATCAGGAATTTAAAGTAACAGTTGGGAACCCAGGAACTCAAGAATGGGAGGCACCCTGTATTGGGGTGCCTGTGACATCCCTTTGTGAGAGTTATCCCTTTCCTCTTTCTCCCCAGATCCTCGAAAATGGATACTAACCAAAGTCAATACCAAAATCCTCACCTTCAATGCTTTTGAACAACAATGTGCATCCTGGCAATTTTGTATGCAAACTTTTAGAATAACCATCATTAGAAATCTCACATGATTGAAAATTTCTTCATGTTTGTAAGAGGTTGTTGTAAGGGCCAAATTTGGTTTACCATTTATACAGTGTTATTTACAGTCTAACCTCTCCTTACGGACACCTCTCGATAACGGACAGTTTGTTTCGTCCCAGAAATGCCAAAAATCATACATTCCCTACCTCTATAATACGGACACCTCTGTAAAGCGGACAATTGGTTCTGTCCCTTTGGTGTCCGCATTAACGAGGTTTAACTGTATAATATATTTTTTCTTGACCTCGCAGTGGAGCTTGCACTGTGAGTGTTCCATATACCATGCCAAGTTTAGGAATGAACTTTCTTTAATACGCTTGTCAGGGGTACTAAGCAAAAAAATTAGAAAAAGTGCCTACAACGTGCAGCATATGGTGTTCCAGGCCTCTTGGCAAAGTTTGCAAACAGATATATAAATATTTGGTCCTTTTTGCAGGCTTGTCCCTTCCCAAACTTCCATGCTCATCCAAAAAAAATATCATGTTAAGCAAAACACAGCGTAGATGTCAAAACAACAGTGTGCAATAATTATTACCCGTCCCCTCCCCCCTAAAAAAAATCCTAGAAATGCTTAAGATGGAGTGTGAACATGGCACAGATTAATATTAATAATAGGAAAAAAATATTGTTCTAATACAAAATGTACTTACTGAGGAAAATGGTAAGTTGGTGATGGTGTCAGCCTTTTCTCGTAGTCTCATGTACGCAGTTAATGCATAATTTACAGTCAAAAAGAATGAGGCAAGGTGTGCCATCTGAAGAATAAAAATTACAGGTGTCAAGAGTGATTCAATTTGGTATTTCAGCTGGTTATCGTGTAAGATACCCTGTGTCAAAGACATAATTTAACTCCAGTTTAATAGTAATATCTGCAAAGCAGCACCAATGTCCTTGTTCTGGGGCCCGTTTCTTGAAAATCCCGATAATAATTTATTAATGGGCCCGTTACGCTGTTGCCGTTTACATTAAAGGGCGAGGTTTCAATAGTTTTTTATCTAACGTGATAAAACTATCAGTTAATGAAACAAAATGGAGTAGTTTGCTGGCCAGGACCCACGCTCTTATTCTTATTGATTTGAATATTTGTTTTCCGTCCCGAAAAGTTACTGGGACATTCGAGAAACGGGCCCCTGGGCCCCAAAAGGGAGTCTCAAGAAAATAACTAGAAATGCGTTTCAAATTTCTCTTCAACCTGATTGACAAATTGGCAAGGGCATTTTTAAAAGGACAGTCACTCCACACACTCAAATCCTGGTACACAGGTGGAGTCCCATAACAAAGACTTCAGCACTGGTTGGCAGACAGACTTAGCCAGAAGTTTAGTTCTAACTGTGGTGCAGGCTACATGAAAGAATAACTGAAAGTTTACCAAAAGAAGACACACATTTCAGTCAAAGCCAAGCAATGGGATAATGACCAAGTCTAGCAAACTTATTACAGTTAATTACAGCCTTATTCTGAGGTACAGTATATTAGGTCAAATTTTAACATTAATAGAACAGTAATATAATTTTTATTAATTGAAACTGGATTAATCTTTAACTGGAGGATCACATTACACTGTATACCCCCACCAATATTTACATTGTAACAGGGAAGTCTCTTATTTGGCTTGAAAGAATATGTACCATCATACAGGGTGTAGTTTTTAGAGGACACAAGTCTCAAACAGGTGTACAATTTTGGTATTTGGTATCTTGAACAGGTGTCCAGTCTTGCTGGACAGTATGCCCTTATTCCTTAACAGGGTGCAAACCTTGGTGGTACTTGGTTCATAGGTGTAGTATGATCTGTCATTATTGCGGAATAAGGCTCATTGACTCCAAAATTAATTAACCCTTTCACTGCCAGAGTGAATGAAAGAGTTTTGCAACTGTGGACGAAATCTAATGGAGTGACCATTCAAATGAAACCTCTCTACCAGTACTTTCCCATGGTACTATTTGTTTCTCAAAATTTTACAAAATGAAATTTGAGAATTTTTGCTGAATTTTGCCTTTGGCCACTCTTGGCAGTGAAATGGTTAAAGAAGAAAAGTAGATGGATCACAAAAGAAAGATCTCTTATCTTAGACAGCTTACTAAAAACCCCATTTACACTACAGAAAAAATGGGTCCAGACTCATAAGAAAGTTGGTATGCACCAGATATTTTTGCTGTGTAAACCTTCCATACCATGTTTTCATGAAATGGATCTGGACTCAGTTTTTTCTGGTTTTGGGGTCATAGGTGGCTATGGCTCCAAAACCGAAAAAAATGAGTTTGGACCCCTTTTGCTGTTCGAAAGTGCAGTGTAAACGCATCTTTGTTCTGTACCATCTTCTTCATGTGAGCCTGCCGCACTTTATGGTGGTTTTGTGCATGTGTACTACTGCACTTTTCAATCATAAGCCTCACCTGATTCTTACCCACGTAAACAATTGGTCCAGACCACTTTTTAATGGGTCCGACCCAGTTTTTTCTGTAGTGTAAATGGGACTTGAGAGTTAGTAGGATTCAGTAGCACACCCCCACCCAAACATCCCTTTAGTACCCATCATCTGAATGCTACCCTGACTGTGACATGTTTCAAGTAAAAGTATCATTCAAGTCACCAGAAAAAGTCAAACGTTTTTACCTCTCCAAATGCATCCAAGTAAAAGCAACCTTGATATTTGTTATGAAACCAGGTACAAGCTCCTGAGAGCCACAGAGAAGCCAGAATTAGGTCTGCTAGGGCCAGGTGAAACAACGGATGAACCTAATACAAAAAAAGAAGAATTAACTTTACGTAATCTCTATATTAACACTTCCAGTCCCACGCTTGACCAACACCAATTTTCTCCTGACAGTATACAGAAATGCCAACTCTCCCAGATATGGCACCAATCTCCTGCTCTCCCGTACAGGTCACCATGTCTCCTGGATAAAATCTTCTTTTGAGCTTTTCACTAGCTTAGTTTGAGATTTAACCCATGTTAGTTATTCACAGTACTGTTTCTGGGGCATTTTTGCATGTATTTAGTCACCTACAGATTATTTTTCTGACATCAAAACAATGACTGTGAATTTTGATGGTATGTACTTCATGTAAGACTTTATATAATGTCCTAAGTCATTCCCATTGGGGGATGGGTCAATTTGTCGAGGGTGGGAGGGGGGGGGTTTCTGCTGAAATTCTGGGGGGATAGTAAAAAAAAGAGAGTCTCCAGATTTTAGATCTCCAGAGATTGGCATCTCTGAATATACATGTAAAACATAATCAAGGGAATGGGTTTTGAACATTACTAAAATGATGACCTGCAGTGTAACAGAAAATGCTTAGATCTTATATCAAGTTCTCTCAACTAGTTCTTTAAGTAAATGTATGGAGATTAGTTTGAGGAACTTTATTGGATATTGGAGCTTACAAGGGTCAACAATAACATTTTAAACCTGCTTGATATGATGTTATATATTTAATATATTTTCACAAACCTCAGGACTTCTTACAATCCTTTTTGAAAATGCATATATTAGAATTGATCCAGCTCCAACAATACTATAATGAAACAGAAATTATAACGATTTTAATGTCAAACAACAATTTTGTATAGTTCCTATAAATTATGGCTACCCTAAAATATCCAGATCAATTTAGGTTTCTGGGAAACTGCCCACCTACCCCTCCCCTAAGCTATCATTTTGCCCTAAGTGAGAAGTAAGTGTTAACCTGATTCTTCCCTCTCCCCCTCCCCCCTGGAAGCAACGTTGTTGTGTGTTCCAAAGAAGCCTGATCCCTTGCCTTTTGTAGGAAGGAACATTGAACTGGAGGAAGGGGATTTCTTTCTGCAAAGCCGTTGTTTTGGAAATAGTTTTGTTGCAAAGGATAGTGCACATTATCAAGTAGTTTTGTCCGGGATTGTAGGGCCACAGGAACCCTTCTCAGATATTTTTACAGTGGAACCCCTCCTTTGGGTCACCTCTATTCAAGAGACACCTCCATTCAGGGGACACAAAATTTGGTCCCAGAAAAATTTTCACATAATCTTCATATTTGTTACTTCTATTGAAGGGACACCTCTACCAAGGAGAAAGGTATACTATTTCTGGGTCCAAATGTTTTTTCCCAGAATTTCTTTCGGTTCTATTTTTCTTTCATTTTCCTTTGAAAGTAGCCGGGGAAGACGTTCATAGTAGCCGGGGGAAATCCCCGGGCCCGCCTCTTAATGGCAGCCCTGTATGGACACCAAAGGGACAGAGCCAAGTGTCCGCTCTATAGAGGTGTCCGTATTATAGAGGTAGGGAATGTATGATTTTTGGCATTTCTGGGACCAAACAAACTGTCCGTAATAGAGAGCTGTCCATATTATAGAGGTGTCTGTAAGGAGGTGTCTGTAAGGAGAGGTTTGACTGTACAATCAACTTTCAAAACATTAACAATCTCACTTAAATTGATGTACTGCACTTGTGGGAATTCAGCACACAACATCGCAGAGATAAATTAATCATGATTTTTTATACATTATCTAGCTGCTTAAAATAATGACTGCAGTAGATTCCAAGGCAGAGTAAAAAAATATTTCATTTGTTGGTTAATTATCAACAACCCCTAGCCCAACCTCTATACACGGGACACCTCTATTCATGGTACACTTGCCTTGGTCCCGAGGGTGTCCCTGAATAGAGGTTCCATAGTATTGATTTTACCCAAAGAATTACCACGGGTGTCAGAGATTTTTTCTAAAACATAATTAACAATTATTCCACAACTGTGCGTTGGATATGAGATGGTAGATAGCCAATGCCACACGTAGCGCCGAGGTTGCTATAATCATCTGATATCCAACAAGCACCAGTGGAATAATTGTTTTCACAAAAATGCCCACAAAATATGGAGAATTCTTCCCAACTTTATTTGTAAAAACAACCAATTTTCAGCTTGGTTTTATTTTTGAGCAGATGCGTACAGTTACCATATTTGGAGAGCATAGTATAATGGCTCGTATACGATGACGGTTAAGCCAATCAGGAATCTAGAATTCCATTATCCAGTGATTCAGTTTTTAATAAAAGCCAATAATTCAGGGTGAAGCTGTGGCAGTGATGCATGAAATAGTGCCATAAAAAAACTATCTTGTGAGCTTTAATATCAAACTGAGAGCATGGCTTATTTCAACCAAGGTATTTCAAAACTGGACCTTTGGTGAGCAAGGGTACCGAAAATAGTGATCACACAGCATCTGATATGAAATGTAATCTGACACCTGATTTCGTAGACTTCACTAGTCTTCGTCTTATCATTTATTTTTGAAAAATAGCTTGGGTCATTATACGTTAGTCAGAATTTTCAATTTCTCTTACAGTACTTATGTTATTTCAATTTCTTCTAACTCTTCTAACAAAACACTTCACTTGCCCATCAAGCCATGAGTCATGAGAACAGAATTCACAAGCGTGAACAAAAAATCCACCAGCCCTAAGCTATCACACAGGACCTTTGCATGCTAATATCAAGTAGTACCTTAGAGATGATGTCAGAATATAAATCACGGCAATGACGGTTTTTTCCTATATAGAATAACAAGAGAGAAAACAAACAAGTAAAAAAGTGAGTTTACTATAGTAGATGACAATCTACACATGCAAAATTAATTACAACTTAATATAGAGCAATATTCAAGAAACTTCCAAATATATCAACAATTCAAATTTCCAAAACTCAAGAGTTTTTAGATTTATTGGAAAGCTTTCCCATAAAGTTTTCCAAGCATTGACCATACTAGAACAATTAAACAATGGGATGAAATTTCAAGGTAAAATTTTTTCAAAAAAATTTGGATTGCCTTGCAAAGTTGTTCTCTTTTGCTCAGTGCAAACTGGTGAAAAAAGAAAAAATCAAAGCGAATGCATGCAAAATGTAAGCAACTGTTCCATTCATGCAACTTTTAGAATTTTACACTAAAATTTTGAACCACCCCTTCTGATTTTGGATATAGAAAAGTGGGGGTACACACAGGTGTGAAAGCCCAAGAGAATAGGGATTGGAAGGGTTAAGGGAGGTACTAAAAGACAAGGACAGGAGATGGGAGTTTTAAAAGAGTGGGAATTGGGAGAAATAAGCAGAAATCATGCAACAATGCTTAATATTCTGCAACTGAAAAAGAGCTGAAGGGAGGCCAAGAAAAACAGGTTAGGGGGCAGGAAACCAACATACAGGAGTTTGGACGTTTGAGCCACCTGTTCTTCACAGAAAAGGTAAATGAAAAATCTTGATTACAGGTTTTATCTCACTGACAAAACATTCACTGGTCTGTGAATCTTTTGGGATTTAAAGATAAAACATTAGGGATAAATCAAGAGAAAAGCTTTTGGGGCTAGTTGAAATGACGTCTGGGCTAGTAAATGCTAGCTTCAGCTTGCGCTAATGGCAAGCTGTAAAAATGATTTTCTTTGCACCCTGATTGAGATTCTCGGGAAACAAAATTAACTATTTCCCTTGGGACCAGTCATTAAGTGTTTAGTATTGCACTGCACTGGCAATTAGTAGATGAACATGGTAAAATAGGACTTTGAATCAAAATATAAGCTTTCAGTTTCATGCAAATAGATTAGAGGAAATATATTTCTGCTAAGTTGATCATATGCGGTGTAGAAATTATGCCAAATCAACAACATACCTCTTTGTTCTCATGTGGGCTAAAAATACAAATGAGTTCAGGGGTCTCAACCGATGAAAAGTTGACTTCAGCTGAGCTCGTTGAATCACTACTTGATATCATTGCGTTCGTTAATTCCCTTGAGATGTGATTTGTAAACATGAGGGATTAGCCTGTCCGATGATCCTCCACAATTTGCTAGCTTTTCAGTTTAGAGCTAATGCTTTTAAACATCGCTACAGATCTCGCGTTTGTCACAACAAGCCGTGCTGTTTATAAACTTTACGTCATGCAGACTTCTGCATGACTCCTTGGTCGCCATTTTCTTTTCCATTGCTCCCCAGGTCATCCCGGTACAAACAAAACTTTTGGCACTAGAAGATACCGGTGGTACTTTTGTCAACATCGTGGCAATCGAACATGGCCTCAGTTTTTACTCGAAACAGTACATTTTTATCGATTCTAATGCGTTTAAAGCTCCATCAGAGGTCTATTCACAGACTTTTTGTCCCTAAGTGTGAAAACACTGACGAAGAAACGGCAGCAGTTGTCAGTTGCTTGATTTCATAGCCCAAAGTCGTAACCTCTTTGTTTTGACTGGCGCTGGGATTTCTACTGAATCCGGAATAAGGGATTATCGGTCAGAAGATGTCGGTTTATACGCTGTAAGTGACAGTCGACCAATGCAATTCTCCGATTTTCTCAAAAGTGCTGCGAACAGAAGAAGGTATTGGGCTAGAAATTACGTCGGATGGGAGGAGTTTTCGTCNGATTAGAGGAAATATATTTCTGCTAAGTTGATCATATGCGGTGTAGAAATTATGCCAAATCAACAACATACCTCTTTGTTCTCATGTGGGCTAAAAATACAAATGAGTTCAGGGGTCTCAACCGATGAAAAATTGACTTCAGCTGAGCTCGTTGAATCACTACTTGATATCATTGCGTTCGTTAATTCCCTTGAGATGTGATTTGTAAACATGAGGGATTAGCCTGTCCGATGATCCTCCACAATTTGCTAGCTTTTCAGTTTAGAGCTAATGCTTTTAAACATCGCTACAGATCTCGCGTTTGTCACAACAAGCCGTGCTGTTTATAAACTTTACGTCATGCAGACTTCTGCATGACTCCTTGGTCGCCATTTTCTTTTCCATTGCTCCCCAGGTCATCCCGGTACAAACAAAACTTTTGGCACTAGAAGATACCGGTGGTACTTTTGTCAACATCGTGGCAATCGAACATGGCCTCAGTTTTTACTCGAAACAGTACATTTTTATCGATTCTAATGCGTTTAAAGCTCCATCAGAGGTCTATTCACAGACTTTTTGTCCCTAAGTGTGAAAACACTGACGAAGAAACGGCAGCAGTTGTCAGTTGCTTGATTTCATAGCCCAAAGTCGTAACCTCTTTGTTTTGACTGGCGCTGGGATTTCTACTGAATCCGGAATAAGGGATTATCGGTCAGAAGATGTCGGTTTATACGCTGTAAGTGACAGTCGACCAATGCAATTCTCCGATTTTCTCAAAAGTGCTGCGAACAGAAGAAGGTATTGGGCTAGAAATTACGTCGGATGGGAGGAGTTTTCGTCCAGACAGCCAAATGAAGGCCATTTTGCTCTTGCAACTCTGGAGAAACTGGGCAAGGTTCATTGGCTTGTAACGCAAAATGTTGATGCTTTGCACTCTAGAGCTGGTTCACAGCGTGTTTCGGAGCTTCATGGTAGTGCACACAGGTATATTCTAAATGTATTGCTAGAAACAGAGTTACGTAACCAGTAGCCCAGCGCCGCACAAATGACGTCAGATCTAAAGTGACTATGGATTTGCAATGTTTGGGTGACTTTTGTCATTTTTGTTTTAAGGACAAACGTCAGAAAAACGTGAACTTTTAATGAAAAAACATAAACAAAAGTGAGGAATTTGCTAATTCGCCACTTTAAAAACGAGAAGGAAAGCTGGGGATGCGCTATTTAGCTATCAGGGACCGGTCATTATTTATCGTCTGGGGGAGGGGGGGGGGGCGGAAAAAAGGGTGAATTTTACCGGTTCCCCCCTTGGAATTAACTTTATTAAATCGAGACTAATGTGTAACTTTTTTTTTTTGTTATAATACCCCGCGACCACCAATAATCCTCACTTTTCCACAAGATCCTCATATACCAAAAAAAAAAAAAAAAAAAAAGTGAAGTTTTGCTATCTTCCTATAAAAAAAAAAAAGGGTACAAGGGGGGAAGCGATTTTTAGCGTAAGAGGGGTGAGTTATTTTTTTTGGGGGGGGGGGGGGGGGGGGGGCCGAAAACAAGCTGAAATTTAGCCGATCCCCCCTTTGAATGTACTTTACTGAAGTGATCCCCCCTAATAACATTTGATGACTTTCGCGATCCCCCCACCATGTCTTCATTTTCCAACCAAATTTGAGTGGTCCCCCCTCTGAATCCTTCCAAAGTTTTCAGTGATCTCCCCTTTTGGGTTCTCAGTTTCGACTGATCCCCCCTTTTGTCCCCCCCTCCCCCCAGGGGATAAATAATGACTGGTCCCTTGGCCCATTTGTTTGCCCTGTTCCCAGTAACAGTCCCAAAAGTCTTTGCAAAAGGTAACTTTGCCCAGTTTCCTTCTCGCATTTAAAGTGGCGGATGTTGATTTTGATACCATAAAAGTCCGAAAATAAGCCCCAGGGCTTATAATTTTTCTAAGGCTCATTTTGAGGGGCTTATATTCGGAGGGGTTTGTCTATGGTGGGAAATTTGCATTTCAAAATTGATCGGGCTAGCCTTACAGTTGGAAGGAAATTTACCATTTTTGCTTTGTATTACTTTACATTTGAGGCAATTTCCAAGTACAAACCCCGAGGGGGCTTATATTTGGAGGGGCGATTTAATTTTTTTTTTTTTGCGTTACAAGTTTGGGGGGCTTATATTTGGAGGGGCTTATACATGGAGGGGCTTATTCTCGGAATTATATGGGCCCTGGCTTGAGACTTGGGGGAATAAACCAAAAGAAATCATCTTGAGGCTCAGTAAGGGTAACAGTGTATTTTTCATCTTTGCATAAAATGCAAAATAGAAGGCTAACCTTGTATTTCAACTAGGGACAATAATTTTGGCTGTATTATTTTAGTTTGTTTATTACATTTTATTCTTTTAAGGGTTATCTGTCTGGGATGCAATCAGCTAAGTTCACGTCATGACCTGCAAGTGAGGATAAAAGAACTTAATCCAACATGGGAGGCCACTGCAAGTGGCCATGCCCCTGATGGTGATACTTTCCTTACAGATGAAGAAGTGCAAGACTTCAATGTCCCTCCTTGTGCTAACTGTGGTGGAATCCTGAAGCCTCAAGTCGTTTTCTTTGGAGATTCAGTGCCAAAGGAATTAGTTAACTTTATTCATGAGCGGTTACTGGAATCTGATTCATTACTGATCGTGGGGTCATCAGTTGAAGTTTATTCCTCTTATCGTTATGCTCATGCTGCTTGGCAACAGAACAAGCACATAGCAATTCTGAACATTGGTGTAACAAGAGCTGATAAATTAGCATCAATTAAACTGTCAGCCATCGCTGGAGATGTTTTACCGAGGCTTGTAAGTTTGTCAGTTGGTTCTAAAAAGAGTGTGCCGAAGGAAACATAACAAAGAAAAATGAGCCTCTCTCTTTGCTGAATGGAAGTGATCAAGCCTGGTTTTCTTCCGGTTAAACCGGCAAAACATGGACACTTGAAATTTTCAGGAAAATTTTATTGTGTTAGACCAATCACAGCAAAGATCAGGACACGCAAACTAGCCACAAATCTACAAACTAACATTCTTGCTTGTTGTTTAGTTTCCCATGTCCAATTAGCTTTTTTCTTGCAACACAACATTCCAGTAGTATTTCTGGTGTTCACGGTTTTCACGGTTTAACTGTAAGTTAACTGAGAACATCTTTGAGAATTGGGAATTTTACTGTTTTTTGGCCGTCTTGTATAGTATATAAATTATTATATTATTCATTCCTGATCCTTCAGAGATTTGAAGGAATATCAAATTTGGAAATTATAATTTTGGAACAATATTCTATTTATTCTAAGGTGTGTCAGATTTCTACAGTGGTGGGCAATGGTCAGTGAAACTACTGTTTAATAAAATATACAATAGAATTTACAATACTTCTTCTTCTTGTTTTATTTGGTCGTTACAGGATTGATGTGCTTTTAGCTATCAACCAGTTGAATTAATATAATTTTAGCTGCAATGTCAGTATATTGTTTGGGCAGGCAAAGGCTGATTGTTGAACATGTATGTTTAGGTTGCTAAGGCCACCATCTTTGACTTTAAAACAGAGGACGATTGAGGAGTAGAAACAGCAGTAATGACCCTTTGGGGTGGGCACAAGCGAGAAAGAAGGAGCCAAGGAGGTGGGGAGAGGTGGAGAGAAAAAAGCACCTTTTTTCCCATCTTCTCTCTGCACCCCCTTTGACTTACCGCAACTCTTAGCCTGTGTCACAGACGTGATCGAGCCCCACCTAGTAACAGCTGTGAAGCAGCACCAAATCCTTTTTCTGGGCTCCAAATGGACTTAATGAGTAAATTGTACTAGAAGTGTATTTTGAATTTCCCTTCAACCTAAATGGCAAATCGACAATGGCTTTTTAAACAGGCCAATCATGGTGCATATACACGAATCCTGGTATACAGGTGGAGGCCCAGAACAAGGATTTTGGCCCTGGCTCGCAGATGGACTTTAACCCAAGCTTTAGTTATGTGTGTCACAGGCTACCCAACTCCACAACTTTTCCAGAATTCAACACAGCAGTTGTGTATTCCTAAGCTGAAACATTTGAACACCCAAGAAAAATTCCTCCACTGCACACTACTATATACGACTTGCGTCTTTACGGCTTTATATTATTTAAGTGTAACAGAAGAAGTTGATACAACTGTTGCACAATATCTTCCTTGTCACTGCACAAGAAGAGTTCCTTGAACAAATGCATTCTGCTGGAAAGATCTGATACCTTCACCTGAAGAAGGTAACATAAGCAATGTGTGCATAGCTGTGGTGAATTCAAGCGAAGACCGAGGTTGCAAATTTGCACAACACTGCTAGTGTCAATTAAGTTAATGAGAAACTGCTCACAGACTGTTCTCAAACTGTCCAGCATGAATCTGTCTGAGAAGGCTAGGAGCTGTAAAAAGAATTCTAGTCTAGTGGTTGCAGTTTGAAGTTGACTGACATTTCTGTTCAACACTTGACAGTGTGAAACAGAGGAAGAAGCTTCTGCAGGTTGTTTGCTAGAAGCAATAATTGTACAGCCATATATGTGATGCAAGGCAAATTCAAAGACATTTGGAGAAACATCAGAAATCTGTATAACAGCCTGTGTAGACTCCAAATAACGATATGATAACATGGCTGTGAAATAATTAGATGCCATTTCCATTACTTGCTTGTGAGCGCTGATTATCGTTCCATCATCCATCTGGAAGTTCAAATCACAAGAAACAAGGCATTTCTCCTCATAAAAACATGACATGCTGTTGTGGAAATCAGCGACACATTTCTGTTTAACTAAACAACTGGTATCTTTTTTCATATACTTGAGTTCATGCAATTTGTCCACGTTTCCATCAGAATGAACTGATCCATGTGGTTTGGATTCACTTGATCTTCTGGAAAGACTTGCTTCAGTATCAACTGGGAAAGTTACATGTAAATCATTTGCCAGAACTATCAAAGCTTCTATAGCAGTTGTGAAGGTCTCACTGTTTGCATGAGCTGACGTAAGCAGATCACAAAACTTCAACAATCCTTTCCTTTCCACAAGCATCTGCTGTTTCAGTTTCTTGGTCCTAAAAAGGAGTCGACAATAACTGTAAGTATAAAATGGTGAAATTCAAATACATGCACATGACTTGTATAAACTTGAATTAATGTAGTCACCCGCCTCAAACTGCATTATCTACTCATTATTTTTACCCTAGAGATTAGAGGGAAGGGAGTGCCTATAGGCTACCGGTAGTTTTGAATTGTTAAAATTTTCTCATGGCTGCGAGGTTAAGAAGTTTAAAACAAAAGCAACTGTATTGAGACTCAGGGATCAAAAATTCATTTCTTTTGTTTTATTGCCCTCAGCCTTGGAGACAAGTATGAATTTTGATAATTTGAAACTGGCCTATTGAGATCGTAAAATAAAGGAAGGAAATGACAGGGATAACCATGGCCTTGAGTGTCTGTCTCCCATATCAAGATAATTAGCTGATAGAGTGGTTAGAGAAAACAAGCCATCTCATAATTTAAATAGTAAAATAAGGGATCAAGGGAGCCCTTGTAATGGAATGGTAGGGGGATAACTATGACATTGAGTCTCCCATATAAAAAAATTAATAATTAACTGTAAGAGTGATTGGGCCAAAAAGGCATCCTATATTGAAATGGCAGGGTTATAGTAGCTGTCGGAGTAGCCTCCCCGCAGACGTCCTTTGGGGTAATGAATGCGTGATAAACGAACCCCAAAGGACGTCTGCAGGGAGGCTACTGTCGGAGGGGGTGCCAAGGGGTTTCCAAATCAAATCTGAATGTGATCATATTGGAAAGGGGCTCTCCCCATAATAGCATGATGGTATTATCACAGCTAGCTGTGATGAGAGTCTACGTACCCAATGAAAGTAATTTTCCTAAAAAAAAAAAAAATAAAATGAAAATAATTTTTATGTGGGATCATTGTGGAAAGGGGATCTCCAATATTGTAAATTGCATTTTGGGACTTCAGGGGTTTTCTTGCATTTAAAGGGTTTAGAGGTAATTATTGGAGGGATGTCCTATGGTAGCTGTAGGAGAACTTCTCTTATATTGAAACACTGTAGTAGGTTGTGGTATCAGGATCATTAGTCAACGGAACAATGTGCTAGCATCAGGGAGACCTATTAGCAGAGTGCAAAGAAAGTACATGTAGTGTCCAATAGCCTGGGGCTAGTATATTTGCTATTGGGCCAGTGAATCCTCTTCTTAACTTGCCCAATGGGCAAGTTGGGAAGTTCAAATTACAGAGGAACTGTATTAAATCGGTGCTCATAAAAAGTCTTTTTTGGGGGCTAGTTGAAATGACTCAAGGCTGTGCTATAGCAATGCCCAGTGGCTCCTGGCACCTAAACTTTTGCTTCCAGGCAACTAAAAGTCTTAGATTTTTCATAGAATCCATGTGCTGGACAGTACCCTGGAATTCACAGATTAAGAGCACTGAGCTCCCTTCAATTTTTCTTACAGCACAGCCTTGTGACTTTTTGGCTGAGGTGTACAAGCTACTGTAGGTACGGCTTGACTGAATGGCAAGCTGTAAAACTGACTTTCTTTACACCCTGAATAGTCTTGTTACCTGCATAAGAGAGGCAAGGCCAACACACACTCTTTGCAATCTTCATTTGATCCTTTAAGGAGCAAATTTTCAAGGACACCTTTTCCAAATGGAGTTTCCGCTTGGCTTGAACAAACCTCCAGTAACTGTTTCCCAGTTTCTTGACAGTAGCTTTGGGTAGCAGAAGATGCACGATGGTATGATTGACAATCAACAGGTTCAGAAGCTTTGTGTTGTTCAGGAGTACTGCATTCATGTCTGAGGTCAAGCAAGTTTGTGCAAAAGCTATGGCTGTCGCACAATACATGATCAGAAACTCGAGTATCCTGGTTTGCTGCTGTGTTCTCGGTCACTGCTGCTGCAGTTTCTTGGTTTTCATAATACATGCAGCACAGCTCATGGTGAAATGCTACAACAGCTCCATTCACAACTAAGGCCTTAAAACACAATGGATTTGACACCAAACAGCTAAGAACACGCCCACACTTAGGACCAGGATTGTCCACTACATGAAGGTAATGCAACAAAGCTTGAATACATGGTCTGTTCACCAGAAGAGAACTAGGATCAGCCATGTGGGAAATGCGAAATAACAATAACAAAGTGCTGTAACCAGGGCTACGATGGTGATGACTTCCTCCATGTGTCCTTGGTGATGGGGGCTGAGCAAAACTTCCATTTGTCATAAAGTTAGGAGTCTTAGTGACTGCATTTTTGCCAGGCGTCATCAATGAATATTTTGATTCAATACTTGTGTTTTCCTTTTCAATTTGCACAATAAAAGGATCCTTTGATTGCTCACCAGTGCTATTGCTTGAGAAGGATTTGTTTTGTGATGGCGACATTATTTGGCTTGATGACAATACACTGGGATAACTAGACATCAACAAATTTGTACTGTTACCAGATGATGCCAGAGATGATATACTACAAGATGACGTACACACAGACACCAGTGATGTTGTGTCTGTCTGTCTTGACGCAAAACTGAATACAGACTTTCCAGATCCTACAGTGCACAAGCCAGGGGGAGGGGTAGTAGGAATGGGTGATGACTTTAGTTTCATTCTTCTCTTAAAATTTGAAAGTCTGCCACTTGCTTTAGAGTCTGAGATATGGATCTCCCTTGCTGTCTCCTCAAGTCTTTTCAAGAAACTTTCATCCATATTCTCTGCACTTGCATCAAAAAATGTTTCTTTAATGCTGGCTGCTCTTGGGGAGTCTGACGAAATGTCTGAAGTGAAAGACAACTGGTCAGAAAAATCATCATGATGATCTTCTAACTCATTCTTCCATGGCAAGTGGGATAGAACCCTGTTAAGGTGACGGAGAAGAATTGGAATAAGATCTGCATTTATGAGAGTTTCCAAGGCTGGCTCACAATAATAAAACCAGGTAAACCCATTTACAATCTTTTTCTCCAGAGACAATGTCATCTTCCCTGAAGACAAGATCTTCAGAAGGAGTTCTAGTGCGCCGGATTCACA